TGCTCGGGATATTCTATCTCTGTCTTCTGTCCTGTTTTACCATTAAATCTGACTTAGTGTTTTGATTTTCTGCCATTTATCCTATGGCGGCACTCGTGATGTTGATTACGTGTTAGACCAGGCAAAGTGGAGGCAACTAGCAGTCCATGATTATATAGTCAAAGCTAGCAGCGATGACAATTTTTGGGCGCAGAATCTGACGCATCCGCCCATATAAGTTGACCCTCCTTATCTCTATTCTTCATGGAATTGACCAATCGCAGTCGATTATTCTTACGACTACGACCATTGTAGACAGAACCGAGAATCATTGTAGCGGAGGCTTAATAGTTAGATTTCGGACATAAATACGTCATCTGCCAAGCGGACATTAGTGATACTATTTGCAATCCTAAAGGTATCTTTTCTGCCAATTAAAAAGTTATCCGTATCTTTTTTTAGTTGTCCTTTTATTGACATTTTGATATCATTTTGCTACCTGGGAAATTAATTCACATTGATGGAAATAGACCTGAAGGTGCGTCTGTGACGATTCACTAGATTGCGCGCATGCGCATATCTTGCGCCTTGTCTCTCTCGCAGCGCGCGTTGCAGCTCTCCGAGAAATCAAGAGTCACCCACTACGCCGCTCGTCTTGGAAATCGATCTTCAAGTTTTACATCCGTGGCGGCTCCTAACCTAAACCTGCGCGCGGTGCGAGATACTTGTCTCGGCGGAGCCGATCTGTTTGTGTACGTCGTGAGGAACGAGGAGTCGTCGCGGTACGAAGAGGGCTTTCTAAAACCGCCCCGCCGAGAAGGCTGCTCGACGAGACCGCGAGTAAAGTTAGACGCCACCAGGATGTCAGCGGAGGAACAGCCGGACTTCCGACTGGGACCGGATCCCAGTGTCACTTATCCCATTCGGGTCCAGTATTGCGGCAACTGTTCACTACCCATCGAGGTAAATCGTCTACTTTTAGACCCGGTCTGCACTGAGTTGTTAGCCAGAAGTCGGAACGATACGTCGGATCTCTTTTCGTTCTGGCTGAAAGAAAAAAGGATCGACATATAGTTCCGACTTCTGACTAACGACTGAGCTCCGGTTTCACCAAGGTTGCTTAACTTTAAGCCTAGCTTAATTCGTTCTTCGTCTCTTTCCAACTATTACTTTAGAAAGAGACAAACGCGAGTTAAACTAAAATTAGAGTTAAGCGACGTTTGGTGAAACCGGGCCTAACAACTCACTGTAGACCGGGCCTTAACGTCGGCGTTGACAGAAACTTGCTAGATAACGAAAATGGAGTCACGATCGACAATCGAAATTACAATATAACTGAAAATTAATTCAATTAGAAATTAAAGAGGCCGTTTAGGACCGGGCATAGGTGTAAGTAGTCAATTAAATTAATAAGTGAATCCATATACCGTATTCTTTCCAACTTATTCTGTGCGCCAGTTACATACCAGCCTTATAACACAGATTAATCCCCGTAAGTGGAAGCGTTATCGTCAGTGAATTCACGTTTATAAATTATTTTAATAATGCTATACATTAGCATCTAATATGATAACCCCCTTCCTCCCTTTATTAAAATTCTTATTGCGAAAAATATTACCCCAGCCAGGATTCGAACCTGGGACCTCCCTCAATCCAATACAATTAAACATTGTAGTATGAAAATTAATTGTAGCATTTTATCTTAGAGGACAAAATTAATGATACGATGTTTTGAGTTGACTCTGGGCGTTTTCCAGCAAGGACACAATGTGACACAGTGTAACACTGAATCATTACATCCTTGTTGTTTGCCAATGTTGAACAAGGATGAAACGATTCACTGTGTTACACTGCGTCCTTGCTGGAAAACGCCCTCTTTGATCCCTTTCGACGTGGAACAATGCGAATCTCGCGAAAGAAAAGAACTGGTAGCGAGAAGGTTTACAAGTTCAACTTAAAAATCCAATTCTTGACTTGCAGTACTGCGAATACTACCCGGAGTATGACAAATGTAAGCAGTGGCTGGAGAGGAATCTGCCTATCGAATTCGAGAAGATAAAATTAGGTAACTATGGAGAATTGTGCGCCGGATACGGTCGGACGATCTTAAGTTTTAACCGAGGAACCACGTTCCCATCTTCAGCTACAGAGGACAGCTCCACCGAAGTCAACGCGGGTGAGGACGAGAAGAAGCGGCAGAAGCGCGGTGGCAAGGGTATGCTGAAAACCAAGAAGAAAGAGGACATACCACGGTTGGTGACCATCTCCAGGGCGCCCAGGGGAAAGAAGAAATCCGTCACGGTCGTGACTGGCCTCAGCACTTTTGGTAACGCGCCGAGTCGACCCTGTAAACAGATTGCAAAATGAACGAGCTCGGTGTTGAGAGAGACGTGCTTTTTATAGATATCGACTTGAAGGTGGCGGCCAAGTTTTTCGGCAGCAAATTCGCCTGCGGATCCAGCGTGACCGGCGACGACGAGATTGTCATACAGGGAGACGTCAAGGACGATCTGTTCGAGGTGATACCCGAGAAATGGCCACAAGTGAGTTACAGTCGACTTTTAAAAGAAGGAGGCGATAACCAGACGTAAAGGCCTGTGTCCACGATACAAGAACTGCGTCCAAGTTCTAGTTCCGAGAAATGTGTAACCAATCAACTTGCAGCTATTCCATAAAAGCTGCAAGTTGATTGGTTACACATTTCTCGGAACTAGAAGTTGGACGCAGTTCTAGTATCGTGGACACAGGCCTTTAGAGTCCCTCAATGGCAAATCCCGCTCTCTTTTCAGATCGACGAGGACTCTATAGATGACCTTGGGGATCAAAAGAGATAATAAGGCTACTGCACTATTGCGCATATGCACAATAATTTAATTACGCACTATTTCCAGTCATGTTTATTATATAAATAAAATGTACATACGCAAAAAAATATATTTAAACAAGTTATTTTTTAAGGCGCAAGATTAGGTCTCTTGTTCTGCGTCCTGCTCGTCCCCCCGCACGTTCGCGACGATCTGAATCACGGTGTCCACCTCTTCCTCCGTCAGCCGTTCCTCGCTCTCCTCCACCATCTGAACGTAAAGACTATCTTAAAGTAGATCTCGACCGGAACATCTATTATCCCAACGCTGATTAAGGCTAACATTACTGCTGAGTAGAAAAGTTCTAGATACTTGACAATTTTACTGTCCTGCAGTCAATCGACACACTTAAAAAACTTGTCGCACGACAAATGTAATATTAGGCTAACGGTGCGTTCTGCTTCACGCATGATTCACAAGATGCATCATTTATCTTCAACGTCGGGTAAATAACAAGGATCATGCGTGAAATGGAACGCACCTTAACTTTAATCTCGGTTCAACTTCGTGTCTTCTTCTAGTTTTAAAACTTGGAAAGAGATGAGAAGTAATTTAAGCCGAGAGTCAATCAGCAACGGTAGAAACGGGCACTAGAGAATCTCTTCGCCACTACCCGGCAAATTAGAATGGTGGGAAAGAGGGAATCGAACCAATTGTATCTCGAGTGGCGTAGTGGGGCAGAGGTTGAGAAGTGTGAGCTTCTCGGCCTTCGTCAGCTTGATGGGCTCCATCGCCTTGAGAAACTCGCGGATCTTCTCCGGACTCTGCTTCTTGCACGGCGTGTCCTCCAGATACTTGATCGTCTGATAAGTAATGGTCGCCAGCTGATTCATCGACTTCTTGTAAGACTTGGTGTTCCGCAGGATATTCAGGACCTCGTAATTGCTCAGAAGAGTGTCCCAGCTTCCCTTTATGCTGAAAGGAAATCGACGGCGGTGAGATACTCGCGGTTATCGCGGACGAGGGCCCCAACGAACCCGGCAACTCACACTTTCATGCCGCCGCGTCGTCACGAACTGGGAGACGTTTCGCAATGACGACTCCCAAGTAGTCGCGAGTCAATGTGACGTTTCTTTGGTTTTTTTACATGTGTCAACGATAGACGGACTCGTGGCTCTTCGACTCTCTCGAGCTTTGAGGTTAGGGCGCTCGGTAATTAATATCGTTCCTGAAAGTATGCAAATCGCGCCGAGATTTTTCATTCACGCCCGCAGATTCGACAGTCCCGCGAGTAATCAGATTTATCGGCAGCGAAACTCAGGACGATTCGTTTCTCGAACGCGCGGTTCCCACGACGTTCCTCAACGCTACCGCTCCCCGTCTGTTTACGTCTCCATTTGCACCTGTTTGCCGCGCCGCGTGCTGAACTCTCTGCACCCCTCGTCCCTCTCTCGTCGCATACAACTGTAAACAGACAGGCGGGAATGCCTGGACACGTCTCTTTAATTATAGAGTACATTCTAGAATTGTTCAAGCATTCCTGCCTGTCTGTTCACAATCTATCTTGTCTCGGAGGTGCGATTACTCCGAGAAACGCACTTATAGAAACGATCGTATTGGATACTCCCGAAAATTTATGTTACAGACGCTGGAAAAACTATAAAAGAAAGAAATAAAAGAGATGCAAACTGAAAATTTGTACAGCGCTTTCTCGTCGTTTGAGCAAATCATTTGCTCAAATGACGAGAAAGAATAACTCAAGTTATTCTTCCGACTTGCTCGTAGCGAAAGCTTCGTGAGTTAAGCGGTAAAGAAACTATAAAGCTCACAAAAGCTTCCTTTATGCAAATTTCGGATTTGCATTTTTCTTCTTACAACTTTATGCCAATGTATAATTATAATGTATTCTTTACATCAATAATTCACATTTTTTTTAAATTCACGGACATACGTTGCGTGTGTGTTAAATTAATTGAAAAAACTCCTTTCTCCGACTTCCGCTAAATTAATTATAACAACATTAACAACCATCCTTTAGCGACACCGTTTAGTTATGTAAAAAAATAGGCCGATATCTTGAACTTAAATAAACGTACCGATGCATGCATATCGATATTTTTTTTATGGGATTTCTCAACGTTTCGAAACCTGAACGCACTGGCAAAGGCAATTTAGTGATTGGAAAAAATGTTTCTCGCAAAAACAAAGGTGCGAGAGGGCGAAAAGGCGAAAAAAAAGGAAAAATTAGTCCCTTGACCCCGACGTGATTTGAACACGCAACCTTCTGATCTGGAGTCAGACGCGCTACCGTTGCGCCACGGAGTCCCACGAAAGTGGCCACCGAATTGCGCTCACTTCAGGCCACTGAACTCGGCAGCGCGGCCGAAACCGCTTTCTCCTTCTCTTTCCCTCCTGCCCCCCCACTCTTTTCTCCGCCTCCCGATAAATTATTCGGACAAATTTGCCACTTTCCTCCCTTTCTTCGCCTCTCGCGAGAAACATCGAACCCGAGACGGGCAGGAGACACTCCAGGAGGGAAAGGGTGTATCGCGCGGTACAAGAACCGGCGAGCCCGTTTTGCCGCCATTTTGCTCGGCACTCGGCGTCCCTTTATCCGGCGTCCCGGGCGATCGCGATTTCGCGGGCGAACTCGCGCGGATTCGAAGACGCCGCGCGGCTTCGCGGCGCGACCCGGGGATTCGTCGGCGTGAGTTTCGCCGCGCGACCGACCCGGGCGACCGTGTCGCGCGGCTCGCGACTCGCGATTCGATCGCTCGCATCCGTTGGTCGAGCGGGATTTTGAATTCGCGACAGCTCTCGGCGTGACGCGACATGGCGGAGCATTGGGAACAGTAGCAACGCCGACGGAGCGCGACGGTGTGGTCTCTCTCTCTCTCTCTCTCGTTGCGAACGTACGCTGCGCGGCGCGAAAACGTTGCACGCGCGACAGATATAACGCGAACCCACGTGCAACCCAGGTTCCCCACTCCGAGGAGCAGATTCGGCGCTTTCAAGTTCGCCCGCGTCGAGCAGCTTCGCGCGGGAAACGGCCGCGGCGAGGGGAGCGGCGACGCTGCGGGTGAGGACGAGTCGTTCAGCGGCGCGTTCTCGCGCGTTCCTGAGTGAGCTCGCGGCATTTTCGTACGACACGCTCGGGTCCCGGCCGGCTCGGGGGACTGTCTCGGCGATGTTGTCGGTGAGCTAACCTCAAAACGGGGCTACGACTGGCGGCAGGTCCGCGCGGACAATAAAGCGGCCGTTCGGATGGAGACCGGTGACTCCGAGGCGAGGAGCAGCGACCCCGGCGCGGCCGACATGGAGGCCGACGCGCGGGACACGGGGTACGACACGGACGAGGAGGGCGGCCTGAGGGTGGACGACGACATTTACATCCCGCCGCCTCTGAAGAATTTTAACGAGATTGACGCGACCGGGTCCAGGCTTATGATCGCCAAGATCGTCAACATGAACTTCAAGAGCTACGCCGGCACGCACGTGATCGGGCCCTTTCAGAAGGTAAACGCGCGGACGTACACCGTACGTTTCCGTTTGTCAGGCACGTTTGTCTTGAGCTCGGTCTTTCTCTCTTCTTCAGAGCTTCTCGGCGATAGTGGGCCCCAACGGCAGCGGCAAGAGCAACATCATCGACTCCATGCTGTTTGTGTTCGGCTACCGCGCCACCAAGATTAGGTCCAAGAAGATCTCGGTCTTGATACACAATTCTAGCGAGTATGCAAACGTGAGAAGCTGCACCGTCTCGATACATTTTCAACGAATTATTGACAAGGTAGTGATATTGACGGCGCGGTTTAATTCTGTTGTCGGGCTGATTCTACTTTGGTCGTATTAATTTTTTAAGCCCGGCGAAGACTACGATGTCGTTCCGGACAGCGAGTTTGTTATATCTAGGACGGCATTTAAGGACAGTTCGTCGTATTATGAACTGAATAAGAGGAAAGTACAATTTAAAGAGATTGCCAAGCTCTTGAGGTTTCACGGAGTCGATTTGGATCACAATCGGTTCTTGATATTGCAGGTAAAATCGTGTACCAGATGCTTTATTAATAGAACTCGGAGATTGCTTTTTTTCTGAAAGATTAAAGAAGAGTACAAACGTGCAACCTGTTTGATGTTATTTTTAAAATAATTTTGTAATAAAACCACTTTAATGAAGCTAATTTTCTTAGGTCATTCAATTCTGTACAGATTTGTTGACTATTTTCCACACATGTTCAGTGTTCCAAAAGTTTCCTTTATGCTTTTTTTTCGAAAGTCTTAACGTCTGCAAAAAATTAGTTTATTATTAAACTGTTTAAATTATATATTCGAGATCAATCGATCACAGCATATATTTATTACATAAATTGTGTTTAAATTGTATATCGATAAACAGTTGGAAAACGCTTTTTGTAGGGTGAAGTAGAGCAGATTGCATTGATGAAACCCAAAGGCCAAAATGAACACGATACCGGAATGTTGGAATTTCTGGAGGATATTATTGGCACGTCTCGCTATAAAGAACCCTTGGAGAAATTGTCGAATAAGGTGGACGACTTAACGGAACGTCGTATAGAGAAGCTACATCGTCTCAAGGTCGTGCAAAAGGAGAAGGAGGCCCTGGAGCAGCCTATGGAAGAGGCGGTGGAGTACTTAAAGTCGGAGAACACGATAATCAGATTGCAGCATCAGCTTTATTACTGCAAAAGGTAAATTAAACGCAACAGTGGCTTCGTATTACTTGACTTTTATCTGATAATATCTGGAGCGTTAACGGCGGTTCAGGCAACTATTGAAAGTCACGAAATATCTCTGTCAGATCTGAGGCGATGAAGGAGCTCGAGGAGTGCGAAGCGACGCACGATAGTCTTGACCAGGAACATACCGCGTTGACGGACAAGATGAATAGCGTTTGCAAACAGAAGGAGGAGAGTATTAAGATTATCAAGGAAAAGAGCGCGAAGTGGGACGCTCTGCAACGGCAGAAGGATGGAGCCACAGCGAGATTCAACGAAGTGCGTAAAAAGGATGAATTGCTGCACGCCGAACTGGTCGAGACGAACAAGCGGCGGAAAGCCAATATGGCGTCCACCAAGACGGTAATCTTTTACTTTGTTATTCCGACCAAATATATACCATTGAATTTATATATAAGTTACAAATGTTACAGTTTTTTGTTTATATTAAATTATGTGTTTGACAATTGATGACAGGAGAAAAGCAAGCTGGAAGAACTACTAAAGGTACCGGAGAAAAACACGAAAGATATCGAAGAATGCGAACGTTTAATCGAGACGCATGCGGCCAACAAGGAAAAAGAAGAGACTTCGTTGTCGACCTTGATGGCGAATCTGCGGGAAAAGACGGAGCCGTTGCTGCACAAGCGGTCCGAATTGGAGAAGAAACTGATATCTTTTAGGAAAAACGTGGATGAGGCGCAAGCGGCGTACAATATTGCCAAGTCTGAGCTGGAACTTTATATATCGGTGGAGAAGGTCGAGAAGGAGAAATTAGAAAATCTCCGGGAGTCTTTAGAAAGAACTGCGGGTACTCTGAAAGAGCGCCAGGAGCAGCTGGCGTTGTTCGAGACGAAGATCCCGGCAACCGAGCGCAGTTTGAAGCAGGCGCAGGGTGAACTGGACGAGGCAAAGGCACTCGAGACGGAAAAGACCGCTCAGCTGCAGAGAATGCGAGTCTCTTTTGAGGAGCAGCGCTGTGCCATGCAGAGCAGCAAGTCGCGGAACCGCGTTCTGGACTCGTTAATGAGAGAGAAGCGGGACGGGCGGATACCTGGAATATTCGGGAGATTGGTGAGTGTCGCGGAAACCTCTCGAAGAATAGAATTAATAAAATATAGTTGCATTCGTTATTACTGAACGAACTCGCCGGTAGATTTCTTTACTTGACTTTGTACGAATTTTCTTATGTAGGGTGACTTGGGCGCCATTGATGCCAAATACGACGTCGCTGTGTCGACGGCATGCGGTCCACTGGACGACATCGTTGTGGACACAGTAACCACGGCGCAGGCATGCATCACTTTTCTGCGGCAACATGACATAGGACGCGCCACATTTATAGCTCTGGAGAAACAGCAGCGGTTCCAGGCGAAAATCAGCCATAAAATCCAAACGCCGGAGAATGTACATAGACTGTTTGATCTGATCAAGGTGGAGGACGAGCGGGTGCTGGTGGCGTTTTATTATGGTCTGCAAGACACTCTGGTGGCGCAGGATTTGGATCAGGCGACACGCATCGCCTACGGTAGAATGCGTTATCGCGTGGTGACGTTGAAGGGCGAATTGATCGAGCTGTCGGGTACGATGAGCGGTGGTGGGCGCACGGTATTTCGAGGTCGGATGGGCCAGAAGGTGGTGAGAAACGAGCCGTCAAGCGCTGATATCGAGAAACTGCAGTCGCAGTTGGATACTGTGTTCGAAGAGTGCAATAACCTGAGAGCGAAGAAGCAGCTGCTGGATCAGCAGATCCATGTACTAGTAACCGGCTTGAAGGATATGAAGGTCAACAGGCAGAAATTTGGTATTGAGGTACAAACGCTGAACGAGCAGGAGCCGTTGTTGCGAGCCCAGCTGAAGGCGCAGGAAAAGACCACCGCCAACTCGGTATCGGACCCGAAAAAGGTTGAACAATTGCGTGAAACGGTGGACGCGGCAAAATTGCACCTAGACAAGGTCGAGAAGAGCTCCGCCTCGATAGAGAAGGAAGTCGAATGTATTAACAAGAAGATAGATGATATCTCGGGCAGTCGCGTGCGAGATCAGCAGGCGAAAATTAAGCAGCTGAACAAATCGATAGACAAAGCCAAGGCAGAGATATGCCGTCTGCAGGTGGCTATTAAGACTGCCGAGAGAAATGTCAAAAAGGTGGAGAAACATATAGAAACACTGGAGAGCGACGTGCATACCTGCGAACAGAGGCTGAGGGACATTCAGAAGGAAAAGTCCGAGCTCGAGGAGGGTGTTAAAGTACTTCTAGAAGAGTTAAACCAGGTCAACGAGGCGCTGGTAGAGCGGGACGACGCCACGTCGTCTTTGAAAAGCGAGCTGAACAAGCTGCAGGCGTGCGAGGACGAGCTGAAGGCGGCGAAGATCGACCTGGATCAGAAATTGCACGAGAGTAAGAAGCTGTTAAAGGAGCTCCGGCAAGTGATCCCCGAGTACAACCGGAAAATAGCGAGTCTGAAATTACGTGAGGTTCCACACGAGGCTGTGGAGCCACTTAACGATCTGACGGAGGAGGAGATCGGTCAGTTGGACGTGAAGATGGTGACGCATAATTTGCTGAAGGCCAAGAAGAGGTTGCCCGAGCAGATACCAAACATGCAGATCATCGCGGATTACCAGGAGAAGGACGCGCTGTACATGACCCGTACCGCTGAGCTGGAAGAGACGACGGCGGAGCGGAACAAGATGCGCGAGATTCACGAGACTGCCCGGCGACGCAGGATCAATGAATTCCTTAACGGTTTCAACTTGATCACCGCCAAATTGAAGGAGATGTACCAGATGATCACGCTGGGCGGCGACGCGGAGCTGGAGCTGGTGGACTCGTTGAACCCGTTAAGCGAGGGCATCGTGTTCAGCGTGCGTCCACCCAAGAAGTCGTGGAAGAGCATCGACAAGCTCAGCGGCGGCGAGAAGACCCTGAGCTCGCTGGCGTTGGTCTTCGCCCTCCACCATTACAAACCCACGCCGCTGTATTTCATGGACGAGATCGATGCGGCGCTCGACTTCAAGAACGTCTCCATCGTCGGTAACTACATCAAAGAGCGCACCAAGAACGCGCAGTTCATCGTCATTTCGTTGCGCTCGAACATGTTCGAGCTGGCTGACTCTTTGGTGGGCATCTACAAAACGTTCAACTGCTCTAAAACGGTGACTCTTCAGCTGGCCCGATACTACGAGACCAATGGTATCGTGCCACCCACGCAGCTCACCTCCAAGAACTACGCATCCCAGGCTTCGCAGAAGTCGCAACGCACCCAGCTGAACTCGCGCAAGGAGAACACCGCGCCACTGAGGAACAACAATGAAAAAGAGGAGTTGTTGAAGACGAAAGAGCCGTCGCCTGCGAAGAACATTCACCCAAGACAAACTTCGTCAGACGTCGACGAGGAGACAAATGCGAAGAACAATAATGAGACGAAGAAGCCGAGTACGAAGCGGCAGAAAGTCGATCAACTAGGGTGAGCGCTGGAGTCATTGTTCCTTAAGATTGCGGATTCCTCGCTGCAACCGCGTTGCGTTACGAGAGGCGAAAAGTTGTACAAATTTATAACAACAGCAAAATTGTCTCTGTTGTCGGAATAATCGTCTTTGCGTGGATTTTGCGCAAAATAGTTATTTCTTAAATTGTTACATTATGATTACAATCGAAACTCTTCAATATTTTTGGATTTTTTTCGGACTCTACAAGTTCTGTACAAACAATCGCAAAATAATTACAGTATACAATTGAACGGTTTTAAATCAAACAGAGGAGAAGCGATCGAGAAAGGAAATACTTAACGTTACGATAAATATCTTCATCAATACTTGAGAGATAGCGCATATCTAATCTGTTTATTAAACAAAAAACATATTCTTCATTCATTAATTCGATTTATTAAGTGATAGAAACGTATGCAACCCTATTGCACTAGCCATGTTAATTGTTGCAGTCTTCCGGAATTGGCAGTATGCAAGACGCCGCTGCAGACGCCAACGCGGCGTTCCGCCAGGATCGTGAGAAAGAGCGCGGAAAGGGAACAGAACGGCAAGGGACCGGTTAAAAAGAAACAAAAATCAAAGTGACCGTGTGAATCAAAGTGAACGCGCGACGCTTTCAAAATCAAAGGACGCACATGCGAAAAGATTACGCAAAGCTCGCTATCGAAAACTAGCATAAATATATATTATAAATTAACAATGTAAATACCATTACTGTTACGTTTTCGCACAGTAAATTGCAGCTCACGGTGCGTCTTTAATTTTGCGTTCCCCATAGCCATTTGGCGTCGGCCGAGAGTGCAAGATAATTTACTGTGCGAAAAGTTATCGTGATGGCATTACAGTAAAAGTAAAAAAATTAATTGACATATTTTTATTTGTAAATTTAATGTTACACGCGCCGAGTTTTCAGTTCTCTTACGATGTAAGATTGTTTTGCGTAAATGTAAAATATTGAGAACGACGCATATGTATTTTAGTTCGATAGGATACATGATCTGCTCTTTTTCCCTGTATTTTTTATCTCCTTACGTTTCGGCCCCCTTTTCCTTTTTGCTCTTGACACATACATATTTCGTTCTGAATACTCGGAGTGCGTTATGTAACTTTAGTTAACTCTTTAGTCGTCGCGCTGTTTTTTTTTAACAAATTAATAAATTAAAGTGCAAGATGTTGACAGAGCCTAATAGAGAAAATTAATTTAAATTTAGTGAACGAGCAAAAGTGTCGTTTCTACATACTAGATTTTTTCTTTATAACAATCGAAAGAAGCTAGTTTTTGTTGGCACCTTTACACTTTTGCCGAAAAGACTATTTAGTTTGGAAATAATTACTTCAGAGATGCGACGACTGGAAAGTTAAGAGGAGCGGACCTATAAGTGCAAGTGCAGCAATATTTTTATACATTTGTATATTTGCCAGAAACTATATTAAAATCTAATTACTTATTGGTAAGAGCTGAAAGACTTCTAATTCTATTGTCTATCAAATAATTCTACCACATTGATCCTTTATTTACTCTCGCCACAATTGTTCTCTTCTAATTAAGAAATTTTTTAGTTTTAGTTGTAAGGATCATTCGCGCCGATGTGTTCGCCGCTTAGTTTCAAGGGATGTCGATTCGAAGTGGTCATGATTACACTGATATCACAACACATGAACGAGCGGTACGCCGGAAAAGTGTCTCAAGGCTGGTCGCGTTCGCCTCGCCGCGAAACGACCTGGATCCTTCAGGTTTGTTTTGTACACTTCTGAGCACGTGTTCCTCCTGAGAAGGATTTAAGCTGCGATTATACACTATCTCGATCTATGCGAAGGGATAAGGAAATGAGATAGATCACCTGTTAAACGACGACCACAGCGACGATGGCGACGGTGGAGAGAGGGAGCAGAAACGTGACCGAGAAGGAAGGGGCATGCATATAAGTATCGCTACGACGGGCGAGATAAGGATTCTAATGAAGTGCGAGGAGACGCGACGCGCGAAATGACGGCAATCAGAAAGGACGACGACGCCGACGTCGTCGAGAAAGCGTCGCGGAAGATGCCTGCCGTGGCGTCCCCGACTCTGCAACAGACCTGTAAGAAAACCGCCAGTGACTGTGGATAATGCTCGAATTTAACACCCAAACGAGAAGTAATTGGCGATTAAAGGACTCGTGAATCGTTGAAGTCTTCTTGGGAGATCGGATTTCTATATTGTTTCCGATAAACAAATTTTTGAAAAGTAAACCACGTGCCTAGTTGTGAAATAGCTAAAAAAGAGAGAGAGAGAGATCTCTGTATCTTTCTACAAAATACAGATTTAAGAAAAAATATGCTCGGTCGACGCGTAAACGAATGTTTCAACGAAAGGCGAGAGTAAAAATAAAAATGTGCAACTTGTAAATATAAACTCAGAGTCCGATTGGGAACTTGGATCGCTTCCAGTTGTTTAGCGGTGAAAATGTTATTCAGAATTGCGCAAAGTGTCAAAACACGTTTCTCGCGCGTAGGACATGTGTCTTCATCCAGTTTGAAGCTATCGAATTTAATTAGGCGATTTACATATTTCCTTGCTTCTTCTACGTTGTAATGGAACAAGTTTGTAAATTGTGACTTAACGCAAAGATTTCCAGTGTATACGTAGCAGTTGTGGAGTGCGTAAAGTTACTTGTACCATCGGACCACGCTAGTCGCGACTGGTGATTATCGGGCGAATCGTAATCGTTGGTATCGTCATGATCTAGTGATCGTGAAGAGATCACGCTGAAATAAAAACACACATGAAATTTATTTTCATATTTTTTTCTACAAAACTGACAACAGTACGAGACAGTGACATTGAAGAGACGCTGAAATAAAGGACACGTGAAATTTAGTTCTATATATGTTTCTACATATACTTACAACAGTACGAGATAGTGAAAATCGAAGAGCGGCTTATCGCTTGAGTTATTTATGACATAGTACATTATACAGTTCCTTTGTGCGCGAAGCGATCTATCGGTACTGCCGCAACGGACAATATCGTGCATTCGTCCTTTTTTTTTTAATCACGATTGTGCAATCACTCGGAATGCAGATGCTACAGCAAAGTGCGGAAGCGCCTCCTAATCGTTCGTATAATTGCGTGTTGAACTTGACGAGATCACCTTGTAGATAGTCGAGCAAAACGTATTCGATCCTTTTCAGTGTAAAAAAAGCTAGACCTACAGACCTGTAGAAAAATACATTTTACACGATGAGTGAGTTGCTGTTTGCAAGGTGGTCGCAGAAAAAACAATTCTTAAGAGAAATTTGTCATTTATATTATTGTCTTGCAGTGCCTTTAATGGACGGTCCATCATATTTTCAAAAGTGATGTAATGAAATGTTAAAGTAATGATGTAAAAGTGATAATAACGGCATTGATAATAATGTAAAAAATCGGGACAATGTCATTTAATTGGGCCAGTTAGTAAATAATAATATCTCGTAAAGTGAACGGGGTTGTGTTAAAAGCTTTTGAAATAACAAACCTATAATTTGCCCGGTTGTGTCGCAATCCGAGTCTTAATTCTGTAATTATCCGAGAGATGTTGAAAGTGTTTTCCTGGCTTGCATTCGATAACTCTCTTGTTTATCGTTTGGTTGTTTTATCGGGAATTATCGGGAGCGCAAGTTGTAAGTCCGTTTCGTTTCGACCGCAATAAAAAACCGATTCATCGCGACCGCGCTATCGGAGTGATTTGCCGTTTGCGACTCGCGATCGATGATCCAGAAATACGGACGGCGCGCGATCGAATGGGGGTCCATGGATCCATTTCGTCGCGTGTTATTTCTCTCGCATTAACGGGTGATCGTGTTATGAACAAAAAATATATATGTTTGCAAATATTATCTTGATATCGTCACAAATCTCATTACGAATCACCGCGGCTTATTTTCGTATGATTATCCGCGCGCCTTATCGGATCTGATTTGCTATATCGACTCGTTATCATCCAATTTCGTTCTCAGAACAATCAATTTAATCTAACGATTGAAACCCTGACAACTTACATTTTTTTTAAATACATGTGACTTAATTCTGGCTACTATCAAGAATGCTTATTCACGTTGATAATATATCTCCACTATTGCTGAAACGATAGTGACGGTATCTCCTAAAATTCCCTGAGACTTCTCACTTTTATGTCTTTATATCGGATATCTTACTTGATAAAGTTTTGCCTTGACAGGATGTGAATTAAAAGTACAATATAATGATCTCGAAACATATTTGCGTAATAACGTATCTTATTTAAATCTTCAAGGTAATTTTTCTAACAAGTGAATACTGTTTTTTTTGTATATATTTATAATATTGAAATTGTTCTTCCTTTTCTGCAGAGAAAAGATCATTTTATAATCAACGCAAAATTGAACAACATCGTATACTTTTCTTCCGTTATTTATTCATTCGTTTTTTTTCCTTCTTGGTATTGCACTGTTAATGTTAACTAGATATCATCGGCACATACCTCCGTAATTATGCATGTCCTGTACAATTACGTGATGAGTAGCAACGATTTGTAACGGAGAATTATTACGCAGGAACTTCAGTCATTATTCCAGCACTTATAAGCGGCAAAGATTAAATTAAATCTGTGAAAATTAAGTCAATAAAGATTTGTACAAAAGAATTTTTCTGCAAAATCGTGCGTTGTTTAGAAAACAAAGTTCGCAAGGTGTTACCTTATTATATATGTATATTGAATAATAGATCTCTATGCAGATTGATGTTTTTCTTAGATCATATTCGTCATCGCGGAATGTTACGTTTGGCCAGAACTTTTCTTTTGAACGTTGACCCACAGAAATATGACCATGGTTTATTCTAAAGCCTGTTTTTCTAAAGCCGCGTGATGCGAGCGAAACTCACTTTCGAGACTGGTGTACTTAAAATTACGCTAACCAATCCTCGTGCGATTAACATAGATTACTGCTACTACAAATTCAGCAGTTACGCACGTGAAATATGACTCAATAATTATACATTTATCGGGTATTTCCACGAGGAAGAGAGTTCTCCAAGAAATTTCAAATTGGATTTTCAAATGCCAAAAATTATTCGCTCTTCACTGAATGAGTAATTTACCTGCATTATTATTGTGTCTCGTTATTTTCTGCCGTTATCACAATTCATCGCTTGCGTTCTATCATTAGTTACTACAATTAACGTATCGTTAATTACCGCGATTAACATTTTTATTTTATTATGCAGCTTTTCATGAGCTTTCCGAGGCCGCATACATAAATTTACATTCCTCATTTATATCCTCGTTGTCGTTTACTTAATTACTGCTAGTACTTGAGATCAATCTTGATTCAAAATTAATTGCTATGATGACAGTCCAATCCGAGATGCTTTTAAATTTCATCGAGCAAAACAATACCCATACAGCACCAAAGCTTTCAGAAACATAAAGTGTTTCTGAAATGTTTCTGAAAGCTTTGGTGCTGTATGGGTATGCTTTTTTTCTAGATTGATTAATATTCCTATCGGCTTTCCTTCATCCGAAAATTCTTCCGGAAGGACCAACAAAATGATAATCGTCGAGTAAAACTTATTTTTGTTCTCCTGATACAATAAACTTCTGAAGTAATAAGAGATTCTTGGCGCTTCTGTAGATTACATAATAATTTTGTCGAATTTGGATAATAAAGAAATGAACAAAATCCTCGAAAGTTTTACAAATAAATATTTGCTTGTTGGTTGTTGTGCGATTTATTGGAGTAAAAGGACGATTTTCTCGCAGGTATCTTCGGCATCAGGCATCTGCAGGTGCTGCTGCTCTTCCTGGGTATGACCATCGGATACAGTCTCAGGGTTGGGATGTCAGTGGCTGTGGTACCGATGGCGAACTCAAGCACCGCGAATCCGGACATCAGGGTAAATTGCTTAATTTTGCCTTTTCATCGGCTGAAACCGGTGTCTCGAACACTGACGTTCGGACAATTTGACGTATTCGAGATTACGTTCCAGCGCAGCGGTTGTCAGATAAGCGTAACGAGCACGCTACGTTACATAACGATAACTAGATGAACTCATTATTGTTGCTTAGGGAAATGTGCATACAGTGTGTATACAAATCTTTTCGTATTTCCTTACAGTCATAGTTGCGCTATTAATTTAGATCAACGATAGTAAATCTCGTGCGCGATATTACATATCCGGGTGATAAAATTCTTGACTTTGACCGACCAGGAATCTCTGATCTTCGCAGATACGTCATGTTGTAGTGAATGGCGCACCTGCAATGGTTGAAACACTGCTTTATATATATTTTTCAAGCACATTTAGATTTATGATATCGAACTTTACAGTTGATTTGTCGTCATCGTAGACTTTTATATCGAGTTGCAACTAAAGAGATATTTGAGTTATTCAATTTGCCCGATCGAGCGTAACTGCTTACGTCGGCGTAGGTTTTTACCGGTCGTAGAATGTCCCGTAAATTCGCGCCAGATCACCGATCCGGAATCTGTGTCGGAGGAAGGAAATTTTCTGCGGAATCGGGGGAGGAAAGTTCATCGGGTCGCGATGAAATTTCCTCTTCACGCGCGAGATTAATCGCGGTAACCGGATAAATCTCGCCGCGGCTGATGAGGCTCTCTTCGGTTCTTTATCTCGACTCGCTGAGGAATATAGCGAAGTTAGTACATTCGCTCCTGCGCGACTTCTTGCCGCATAAATACACGGATCTCAAGTGAGCAGATAACGGGTAACATTGTCTTTGCCAAGGCCACTAATACAGATCGACAGATAATGAATTGCCAGATTGCAATCACCGTCAATCACCTGATTATCTTGGTAAACTTTACGGGTTTATCTCTCACATTGGAATTCTCATGCTGAAAGATCAAGAAGAGAATTAGGATTGTGTACAAATTTAATGATTATTATTAAAATTTGTGTGTGACAACACAACAGCTAGGTTTTCTATAACTAGACGAAATTATATATTTAATGTGTAATTGCGCACACGCAATTAAATTTAATTAGAATGATATAAGTCATAAAATAATCAGTTTAGATACATTTGCTTTTCTTACGCGCGCATTGATATTTCCTTAACTCTATTTTATTTATACATATGTGCATAATAAAATATAGAAATCACTAAAAGTTATTTTAGACGCCTAAACATCTACAGTACCTTTTCCAGTAATATTACTCCGCATAATTTTCACTCTAGACTCACCGAGACTTGAAATAATTCTAAAGTCACGTTGATTATGTTGTCAGGATTACGGTTGGACTAAAAAGCAGAAGGATTTGGTGCTCAGCTCGTTTTTCTGGGGCTACGTGGTGACGCAGGTGCCGAGCGGCTACATCGCCAATGTCTGGAGCAGCCAGAAGCTCCTTGCCATCGGGATACTGATCTGCGGAATTTTCACAATCATAACGCCGATTGCCGCTGACTTCGGGGGTCTGGAGGCCGTCCTAGTTTGCAGGGTAGGCACGGGTCTCACTCAGGCTTGCCTATTACCTTGCATCCAAACCCTCCTCTCTAAGTGGGCGCCGCCCGATGAAAGAGCACGACTGGGTGAGAATAGATTCAGAATCTGCGCCCGTACTTTCCAGTTGTATCAGGAAACAACCAGTTCGCAGGTTGTTTTGTGAAAAACTGTAATTTAAATACTTGACATAAAAGTTATTGAGTTATTAAACGCTAACATTTTTTCGTTCGGATTTAGGAAATAATGATTGATTGAAGAAGTTACTAAAGACTTGATTCAAAGATGTAAGGAAAATTAAGTATCTAACACTACAGACTAGAGATAAATAAAAGACAAAAAGGAAATATATAAACATATTTTATATATTGTATAATTATATATGAAAACTTTTTTCTCAATTGTTCATTGAGATATGTTTGAAACGTCATGTTAGGATTATTTCCTGCTTTTTGCTCATTAAAACTAAATTTAGTTGATTAGAAATCAACTAGGGCTTTATATATTTCTGTCCTTCCCCGCTTTCTCTCTATCTTGTTAGAAATTTAGAAAAGATTATTGACTAAACGAGTAGAACTTGCAAAAAATGCAAAAAATAAATGTTCCAATTCGTAAAACTAGTTCGCTTACAGTGAATCATATCTAATTGCCGTAGTATATTTTCCCAATTAAGTAAGTCTACTTTATACCTCAGGAACATTCGCTTATGCGGGCGGCCAGTTTGGCACGGTGATCACAATGCCGATTGCTGGACTTCTCGCTGCATCGAGAGTTGGTTGGCCCAGTATCTTTTACTTGTTTGGTACATTAGCGGTCATCTGGGGTGCAGTGTTCCTTTATTTTGGAGCAGACGCGCCGTCCGATCATCGCCGCATTTCCCAGAAGGAGAGGATGTACATAGAAGAAAGTTTGAGGACAACTGAAGTGAAAAGCGATGACGAAGTCAAGCAGGTAAAAATCCATAATCATCTTAAAGATAATCTCAATGATACAATAGTAGTATAGAAGTAAGGGATTCTGAGGTGAGGGAAGACTCTTTGGGAACTTTTAAACATATTTTTTAAGTTATTTTAAAATTATAAGTTACTCGAGAAACATTTAAGAATTTACATAATGACCTCTTGGCTGTGAATGTAATGAAAAGTAATACAAGGTATTTACATTTAGGATGATTTTTACCTTTTACCTTTTAGAAGATGAAAACACCATGGAAGGCGATCTTCACCTCGGTACCTATGTGGGCTCTCATAATAGTCCATTCCTGCCAAAATTGGGGGTATTGGACTCTATTGACGGAAATACCGAGTTATATGACAGGCGTGTTGCATTCCAAATCCGAAACGGTAAGCAACAAAATTTAGCAAAACAAATGAAAAGGATAAAGATTATTTTTCCTATACTAGTTTCACAAATTTTGCGAAATGTATTTATCTGCTGCATCATTTTAATATTCGTGATTTAATGTTTATTCGAATTTATTTCCTCCTTAATCGAAATTATTAGACAATATTAAACATAATACTCTTTTAGTAAGTAAATTAATTAAATTCACTAAACTATTCACAAATTCTAAATTTGTTTCTAAATTCACAAAAACATGAACATTATTACTTAACGGACTCTTACATCGAAACGAAGCGGTTAGTCGGAAAAATACTTTTGGTTTTACCCACCAATCCATAATTTTACTTGTTGACTTTGGCTATTCAATTGTAATTATATTAGACTAAGTTTTATCTAAATCATATTATTGTAATTTACTAATTTGCGCTGAAGAAGGTGCTGTGACACCGAAACGTTCGCTTATATACCAAATATTAAAATATATATGGACATTCACCTTCCATTGCTCGTATAATTATTGGCCTGTTGTTGTTTTTCATTTGTCTTTACACGAAACGAGCTTATCTCATTATATTAATTTAATTAAAGCTTACTTTTTATTTTGCAGACTGGTGGAATTTCCGCCTTGCCATACTTGGTGATGTGGATCCTCAGCTTTCCCTTCAGCTGGTTATCCGACTACGCGTTAAAGAAAGGTGCATCCAGGGCTATGGTTAGAAAGGTCTGCAACACAGTGGCCCATTGGGGTCCGGCTATCGCCTTGGCATGTATGAGTGCCGTTCCCCCTGATAGCTTAGAGTGGGCCATCGTCCTCCTCGTCCTGGCGGTAGGTCTGAACGCTGGATCTTTATGCGGCTTCCAAATCAATCATATTGATCTCAGTCCAAACTTTGCCGGGACCATGATGTCCATCACCAATTGCGCTGCTACTGTTGCCTCCATTATCGCGCCACTAATATGCGGCGAGATCGTTACCGAGGAGGTAATTATCCGTTCTCTTTCTTCAGTATGTAAAATATCTACAAATAGCAATCTAGTTTATTCATTTTCGAGTATCTTCATTTAATTATATTTTTCCTAATTTTACCTACATCTACTTGTTATTTACGATTTCTACTTTTTCATTCTTAGTGAAGTTACTTAATTGCTTCAAGATAACAAAGTTTTCTATCGAGAGATCTCTCGCTTTTCAGAGTAATGTGAATCAGTGGAACATCGTGTTCTACGTCTCAGCGGTGGTCTATTTCGTGGGTAATTTAGTGTTTGTGATATTCGGCAAGGGCGAGATACAATGGTGGAACGACTCAGAGGCACAGCGGCAGAAACGGAGAGGAGAAGAAGAGAACGAGACGCAGACTTGAAATTTAATTAAG